TTGGGCTGTGGCTCCCTGCTGTTGCAGCTCTGACACCCGGGACAGACAGAACTCCCCAGAGACAAAATCAGGGAAATGATGATGGGGTCAGCAGCTCTTCTGTAAATGGAGGGTGGGTGGCCTATCCTGAGACAGCACACATCCTGGTCCCTGTCTCAGTTTGAAGAGCGGCCCCTGTCCTATACAGAACAGAAGACAGCTCAGCTGGTCCCTTCTCCCTCCTCCTGGGGCCATGGGGATTCTGTGCTCTGGACAGGTGTGGGTGCGGCCACTTAGGTCTGTCTAGTCTTGGACAGATGCCGGTGCCAGTGTGGGGAGGCCCTTACACCATTTTCTCCATCAAGTAGTGCAGCTTTGTCCCTGATTTTCTGGAATATTCTAGGTCCAGCTGGAAGCTGCAGAGGAGGCCCTGAGAGCTGGGTGTCTGGAGGCCACACAGTACATTTCACCTTGCTTTCTAAGTGTCACCGTCACGTGTGCCTCTTCCATGCAGCCTCCCATGTTCACCTCTTTCACCCATGACTCCTCGGATGTTAGTTTGAAGCCGTTTGTTTCCTTGGCCTGGGGGGTGTTTGGAGACTTTACTGGGATGACAGTCACGTTTGCTGCTCTGTCGCTGCCCTTAAGCTCAGGGAGGGGAAGGGAATGACGCAAGCTTCTCCTGAAGCACAATTTATTGAACAAAACCACTTTTTCTTTGAAGCATATCTTTCTTAATGCCATTTGCATGAAACTTTACAAAGCAAATTGGTTTTCTCTTCAAACCGTTGGGACACATTTTATTTCGTGTCAGTAATTACAGTCCTCACACCGTGACCACACTCTCATTTCTGTCAGTCTTTCAGCCTCTCGTCCTCTGCGTTCTAACTCATTCCCAGGCCGGTGGGCTTTCTAGAGACGGCTCGGATTCTCCTGTCCTGTGTTCAAGCTCATCCCTGGGAAGGCTCGGATTCTCCTAGGTATCAAGCTAGATGCGATACTGTTTAGAAGACCAGAGCTCCGAAGGAAAAAGCAAAGATACAAGGGAACAAATAGAAAGACCGACTTGACCCCAGCCTCTGTGGCTCAGCTGGTCGATCCAGAAGGGACCACAGTGGAGGGCACCGTTAGAGCTGAGAGTGTGCAGGGGACCTCAAGCCGACCAGAGACATGCACATGCCAGCCAGCTGGACCTCCACCCCAGGGTGTCCCTTGCTCCCCCAACTCCTGCCACCTGCTTCCCTCACCTTCCCGTCCAGGTGGCTGCGGACTCCCTTGTCCACATAGGACAAGGAGGGACAGAAGGGTTCTGTGCCGTGGAAAAGGTGAGGAAGTCAGGTGCGAGGAGGGAAGAGGGGTCGAGTCATCAGGCCATCAGAGGTGAGCAGGGTGACACCTGTCCCCGTCGGGCCCCCTATGACACGTCTCCCAGCAGATCCACGTGAGCTCTCTGACAAGGAAACCAGCCTGGCCCCAGGCCACCTGCAGACCTGCCAGCCTGTGACCCTGCCCTCTAGAAGGGGCTCCCCTTCTGCTGCCTCCTGTCGCCCTGGCTTCCAGTCAGCCGGCCAGGATCCCTTGGTCCTCCCCAGCGCCCGGCACGCGCCCCTCTGCAGTCCCAGCCCATGCAGGCGTTCGGCGTGAATGGAGCTGTGAAGCCTGCTTAAAAGGCAATAAAAGTTTTGGGTTTCAGATGGTCTTACTGCAGAGGAGAATAGCAGAGACAGGAAATCTTAGGAGCAGACACGACAAAGGCCGGCACGCAGACGGAAACACCTCGGCTGTGCAAACAGAGGCGGCTGGCGGGGGCCCAGCACCCATGCCAGCCTGGCCCTCACGCCCGGGGAGGCGCAGGCGGCTCGACCATAAACTGTTTTGTCTACATTGTTGTAAATGTTTATAAACCTCTCTGCATTTGTGCTGCCGAAGTATTCCGGACCCTCTGGAGTGGGCCTCGCGGGAAAGCGCGCGTGCGCGTGTGTGTGTGCGCGTGTCTGTGGGCGCACACATGTCTCTGTGCACATGCATGCACGAGAGGTAGGGAGCTCGAACCCAGTGTGTGTGTGCGTGTGTGTGTGTGCGTGTGTGCTTGTGCATACATGCAGGAGAGAAAGGAGGCCATGAGTCCAGTGTGTGTGTGTGTCCATGGGTGTCCATGTGGGTATACACTTGTGACACTGGACAGGAGGTCTTGAATCCAGGTATGTGCATGTGTGTTTGTGTGAACTCATGAATGTATGTGTGAGAGGGAGAGGGACTGGCGTGTGTGCGTGTGTGTGTGGCAGAGGAACGGGCATGCTTGGGCACTGAGTCTGGGTAGGGGTTGGGCCCGGGGAGCTGGGTGCTCAAAAGAGACTGGACTCTGGCCAGAGGAGTCTGTGGCCACCCTGCTCCCAGCTCTGCAGTCTGAAGCCAGCACTGGGCAGGGACAGCCTTTGTGAGTCTGTGCCCACATCCCCACGTTCTAGAACCTTCCCATTAGGGGAGAAAGACACCATGTAGCCTCATGACTGCCTTCACTTGATTTGAGCAGCAGCATGACCACAGCAATGCCCACACAGGACACTGTCCAGTGGTCATGACCAGCTGCCCTGCCCCCACTAAACACAGACCTGAGTGAAGTTGGTCTCAGGCTGGCAAGGCACACATGCCCAGTGCACACGTACCTCACAAAAGTGTGTTAGGCCCATGGACAGGACACACACGCTGGGGTGTGGACTTCCCCAGTGTCTGTGGCTCTTCTCACTGGCCTTCACCACAGGGAGATGAAGCTAGATGTGTGGTGGCACCATCACAGGTCAAGAGGCTGCCAGTTTGGACAGTGGGCATCTCCCTGTCAGCTCTAGGGACCTCTGGCTCTGGAGCTGCTGGGAACAACTATAGGACCTTTCTGAGGCCACCAGGAACCCAGAGATCCTGGCTGTCTAGGCCTGTGAGGGCTGGGTGCAGTGGACAGACGGAGATGGCCCAGGAGGTCCTGTCTGACCAGGTCAGAGTCCACAGCACTGGGATTCTGAGTGGTTTATTTTTGGGGTCAGGCCAGTCCCTTCTTTTTAGCTTTGAGGTGTGTGAGTTAATCCTGGATAGATGACCGGCTGGGGTGGCCTCATCAGAGCCCCTGAGAAGACTGAAGGCCTTGTCCAAGGCCATCGGAAGAAGGCCCAGTGAGTTGCAGGCAGGGCTGTAGGTATTGTCCAGGTGGGGAAGTGGGGAGGGTAAGCCCTCAGGGTCCTTGTCCACAAAGTGGGCTCAGGATCTGGGTGTCTGGGCCCTTTGAGGGGTCTCTGTGGGCTCCCTGCCGGGGGTGGGCATGGCTAGGGCTGAAGCCCGGGGGTGGGTGGCAGGCGCAGGGCTGCCTTGCGGCCAGGCTGCGGCCTGGAGTGTGCTCCTAATTGTCCATGGCTTACAGCCTTGGCCCAGCTCCCAGGACTTCATAAATCACCGTGGCCCCCACAGCCCTGCAGGCCTCCTGCCAGGCAGCATCCGCTCGTCCAGCTTTCTGTGTGGTGCTGAAGACCCGGGCAGCTGGAGGGCTGGGGGAGGGGGCACCGCAGGGCCCTGCGTCTGGATGATGGGCATTGCTGCTGGGGGCCACCTTTACCTGTCATCTGTGGGAGAGATGGGGGCCTGCGTCTCAGGAGGTGCCACTTTGCAGAGACACCGTCTCCTCACATATCCTTCACTTGCCCGAAGTGCACCAAGGCCACACAACACTCCGTCCCAGGCATCCGGAGAGGTCCGGGTTCCCTCGGTGGCCTCAGCCTTATGAAGGGACATGTGTCATCCCCTGCCCAGTGGATGGGTGCTGGCCCCAGACTATAGTGCTTCAGCCTCCTCATCTGAAAAGTGAGCTGATGATACTGTGTCCTGGGCGAGGCCAGGAGCCTGAGAGACCAGCAATTCAGGGCCGCTGTCCCTCACAGTCTCTGCCTGGTGGAGGGTCCTCTGAGCCTGTCTGCCTGGACAGGAAGGGGCAGACCAGAGCCTGAGACGGGGAAGGGGCTTTGGGGCAGAGGTGACAATGGAGCTCATGGTGGCTGGGGGGTGGGATGGGGCTGGGAGGACTGGAGGAGGCATCTGAAGCCTGGGGCCCAAGCTTGGTGAGGGGACCCTGTGCTTGTCCATGGCCCTGCTCTGAGGTCTCTGAGGCTAACAGGAGGTGACTTCAGGACGACGGGGCCAGCTGCCCCAGCTGTAGGGACCTGCCCCAAGCTTGGCTCCCTCTGGAAACACCAGCCCAGACAGGTGCAGGTAACTTCCTGCCTGCAGACGCTGTGGGCGGCGGGCAAGCTGCCCGCCAAGGCTCAGGTTGGTGAGGTGATGTCTGGGAGGTCTGGTCTCGCCACCCCCTGGGGCCTGGGCAGACAGGCTCCAGATGGGCAGCGGCCAGCCTCCCCGGATGCCTCAGTGGGGCTGGAGGGTGCCTGCTCCAATCCTGTCCAGCTCTGCCCCAGGGCAGCCTCCTGAGCCCCTTCCCCCCTGGGGTGCCGCTGGAGGGCGGGGTGGGAGCAGCAAGGAGCAGCCTCTCCTAAGGGCTTTCCTGGAGACTCCCCCAGCTCTGCACCGTCTGTGGGTGAAGATGACAGTTTTACTCCAAGGATTGGACAAGTGACGCATGCTGGTGTCCAGCAGGTGGAAAGGTCAGGTAAGGAGACACTTCACTGCCTGAAGACACTGGGCAGGGAGGATCTAAATGGAGGCATTCAGAGGTGGGGACAGGAGGTGGATCAAGGCCAGTCTTTGGAGGAAGCCAGTGGGGCTTACGACAGGGGGAGGCAGCACAGAGCTGGGACTTTCCGGAACGAGTGACAGGACAGACTGGCTCCAGGACCCTGTAGACACACATGCCAGTCAGCGGACCTGGGTATGCCCATCCTTGCTGAGTGGAGCCTGGTACCTCGTGAGGCTGTGCAGGTGGCCCCAGCAGGCAGGATGTGCAGGGGGTGGTGGGACGAGTGGACAGGAGAAGCTGTCCTCTGTGACATGAGAGGGAATGGGGTGCGATGGAGTATAAGGGGCAGTCAGATGCAGGCACCACAGAGGGTGGGGCAGTCCAGCTTGGCGGGGGTCTCTGTACTTCCGGCTTTCTTGTTGACCTTGGGAAGCATCAGGACGAAGGACATGGCCAGTGCGCAGTGGTAGAAGCTGTGGACGTAGGTGTAATCCCATTCCTGCAGGGGGTAGGGTGGGGTTGGTTTGTGGCCTCACTTTGAGGACCGTCCCAGCCTCCTATTTCTGGTGCCCGGGCCTGTGGGTGCATCTGCCAGCTGGGCATGCCTGGTGCTCCCAGCTGTTCAAGTCAGACCTCACAGGTCTGCTTTCCCTGGGCAGCTGCCTCTCCTGAACTTGCTGGTCTGTCTACCAGCTGAGGAATGAAGCCCAGCTCCCTCTCTCATTCCCTGCTTCCCTCCCTCCCTCCCTTTTCCCCTCTGTCACTCTCACTCCTCCTCCCTGCCTCTTTTGCCCCTCCCATCCCCCTTCCTCCCTCCTCTCATTCCCCCTTCCTCTCCTCCCTTTCTTTCCTTTCTCCCCCTCTCTTTTTCTCCTTTCTTTTCCCTCTTTCCCTTCCTCTACCTCCCTCGCCTCTGTCCCTTCCTCTCTCTTTTCTTCCCTGTCTCCCTCCCTCCTTCCCCCTCCTCTCTCCCTCCCTCCTCACTCCAGCTACATCTTTCCCCCCTCCCCCTCCCCCTTTCACCCCTGGCTCCCTCACAGTGACTGGTTGTCTCCACCTTCTGCCCACCAGGTGCCTCATCTCAAGCTCTCTGAAGGCAGGGCTGCATCCCTGGTCACTCTGAGAACCCCCAGTGGTACTGGAGGACAATGGACAATTCATTAATTGGAATGAACCCCAGCAGCTGCCGGGGTGAAAGGGTGTGCAGCTGTATGAAACATGAAGAGCTGGGACGCCTGGCCATAATAACAGTCCCCTTGGGGCTCATACCTCAAAGAAGAAGCGTAGCATCAGGGCCAGGGCCCCAAAGCAGAGGCCAGGGCCTACCTGCTGGGTGTAGACACTCTTGTCAGGGTACAGACCCTTCTTTTCCTTCATCTTCTGAAGCTGTGGAGAGGAGACCAGGAGGCTCACTCAGGTCCTGGGGTTGGGGTGAGTCATGCCTGGAGTGACCCTTTCCTGGTCTCTCCTCAGTACAGCCCACCCCTCTGCACTGCCCTCCTCTACATGGACCCTCCCTTGCACAGCCTTTCCCTTGAAAACCTGTAGCCTCTCCTCTGCATAGTCCATTCAGGTGAAAGCCCCTGCCTTGTATAGTCGCTCCCCTACACGGCCCTGCCTTGAAATCCCTCTTCCCTGTGTACCTTCCCCCTGCACAGCCCTTTCCCTGCACAGCCCTTCCCCCCCACCCCGCACAGCCCTTTCCTGCACAGCCCCTTCCCTGCACAACCCCTTCCCCCTGAACAGCCCTTCCCTGCACAGCCCTTCCCATGCACAGCCTTTTCCTGCACAGCCCTTCCCGTGCACAACCCCTTCCCTGCACAGCCCCTTCCCCCTGCACAGCCCTTCCCGTGCACAGCCCCTTCCCTGCACAGCCCCTTCCCCCTGAACAGCCCTTTCCTGCACAGCCCCTTCCCTGCACAGCTCCTTCCCTGCACAGCTCCTTCCCTGCACAGCCCCTTCCCAGCACAGCCCCTTCCCCCTGCATAGCCCTTCCCCCTGCACAGCCCCTTCCCTGCACAACCCCTTCCCCTGCACAGCCCTTCCCTGCACAGTCCTTCTCTGCACAGCCCCTTCCCTGCACAACCCCTTCCCCCTGCACAGCCCTTCCCTGCACAGCCCCTTCCCCCTTCACAGCCCTTCCATGCACAGCCCCTTCCTCTGCACAGTTACTCCCTTGCACAACCTCATCCTCTGCACAGTCTTCTTTCCTGCAGGGCTTCTCGCCTGCTTAGACCTTCCTTTTATCCTTCAGATGGACTCTGAGAGGACCAGGAACACAGCACTTGCAGGCTGAATCAGGTTTTACCCAGTCGTTGAAACTGGACCTCCACTACCTCCACTACAGAACCAGTGAGAGCTCCACCCGGAAGACCCTCCCCCCTGGCTGGAGGCCCCTGAGGCTGTACCAGGCTGCTTCTGCATTGTTTCTGTCTCCCCACGGAGAAGTCCTGAGGAGACTCACATATGTTGACAATTGGAGCATTCTGGGACCAAGGCCATGCCCCCTCTCCAAAGTCACACCCACCTTCCTAAGGGCACACACTCCTGCCCAAGGTCATCACACCTGTGCAAAGTCTTCATATGCTTTTGCCCGAGGTGACTTGTGCTTGCTGAAGATCACATACCTGCCCAAGCTCACGCTGTGGGCCTGCCCCCACTGCCCTAGCTCTTTCTACTTCCTAGGTCTGAGGGCTGCTGTTCTCCCAGAGATGGGCTGCTGGAGGAAAGTCTACCCTCATTCCAGGAACAACTGCCCTCGAAGGTCCAAAATAAACTCTGGGTTAAATGGTCTAGAAAGCAGAACTGGGGCTCGTGGTACAAGGGCGGTCAGCTCTTCCCGGCTGGAGCTTCTGTGTGCAGGCCTGGCCAGGACTCATTTGTTTAAGGAGGGAGTTCTAGTCTGGCTAATTACCACCCACCCTCAGGCAAGGGCCAGCCCCTCAGGGACTCTGAGGCTGCTTCTGGCTGGGAAGGGTCCAGCCGACAGAGCAGGAAGGCAGTGCTAAGAGTCCAGGAGATCATGAATTCCATTGAGCTAATTAAAGCGTCCTTGCTGGGGTCAGGATGAGCCAGACCCCACACCCGTCCTCCCCTCACAGGCGGTTCCCGGGGTCCCTGAGGTCAGCCATCACAGCTCTGACTTCCTCCATCTGAGTGAGGAGGGGTGCTGTCCTCCCGTGTGGCTGGAGAAGCCGAGGTGTTCTGGAGTTGCAGGATTGAAGGATTCTTTGGGCAAAATCTTGAATGATGCAGGAAACATCAATAAAAGATGGAAGGAATACACAGAGTCACTGTACAAAAAAAAGAATTGGTCGATATGGAACCATCTCAGGATGTAGCATATGACCAAGAACTAAAAGTACAGAAGGAAGAAGTCCAGGCTGCTCTAACGCCGTTAGTTAGGACCCCCCACCCCAAAACCTCCAGGAATTACACTTGCAATGCTTCAATAAACGGGTGAAACAACACGGGAAGAGCTTTCTCATCCACGCGAAGATATCGGAAAGAGAGCTACCTGGCCAGCTGACCGGAAGAATAAGTAATAGATATAAATAAATCTGGGAAAAAAAGTTCATAGATGTGCATATTTCAAGTAAGTGTGATAAGACAGAATGCAGAAATTACTGAACAGCATTAGTAATACCGCATGCGAGTGAGTTTTTACTGAAGAGAACAAGGACTGACAGAAATGCAAGCTGGGTTCAGAAGAAGCTGCGGAATGAGGAAAGTCACTACTGATGTCAGATGGATCTTGGCTGAAAGCAGAGAACCCCAGAAAGAGGTGTACTTGTGCTTTATGGACTGTGCAGGGGCAGTTGACTGCGTGGGTCATAACAAATTATGGGTAACACTGAGAAGAGTGGGACTCCCAGAACACTTAATTGTGCTCGTGTGGAAGCGGTCCACGGGTCAGCTGAGTAGAACAAGGACACTGGGGGTTTCACTGGAAGGGAGGGCTACACAGCAGGGTTATGTGCTTCCAGTTTACTTATTAAATCCGTCTTCTGAGCAAGCTGAGAAGCGGGACTGTATGAAGAAGAACGTGGCGTCAGGGTGGAGGAAGACCCACCACACCCTGTATTATGCAGATGACATAGCCTTGCTTGCTGAAAGAAGACTTGAGGCACCTACCGGTAACGATCAAAGGCAACAAGAATGAATGTGGATTCTACTTCAGCATCGAGCAAGCAAGAAGCAGCATCAAGGTGCGTGCACCGCCAAGGGAGAGTGGATCCGTACGCCTCGCCCTCCAGTGGGCTTGCAAAGGCAGTAAATCACACAGCAGATTGACCATCTTCTCCCACAGAGCAGATGGTGGGTTTGAACCAAGTGCCTTTGGGTTGGCAGTGCAATTCTTTACCACTAGGCCATCAGAGCCCTCTAATATCATGATAAGTAAAGAAAATATTGACATCATCAATAAGTTGAAGCTGAGCATTAAAAAAAAAGATTCTCCCCACTGGACCAACTGGCAGCACCAGGATAGACGGAGAGATTGAGACTGTTAACAGTTACAGCTTGCTCGGTTCCACTCCTGGCACCAGCAGTCAGGAAATCAGAAGACGGATTGTGTTGGGAAAATCTGTAATCAGGGACCTCTTTAGAGTACTGAGGTGCAATGACGTCAGTATAGAGACTAAGGTGTGCCTGATCCAGGCCATGGTCTTCACAATTCTTGCTATGCATCAGAGACCTGGACAATGATCAAAGATGACAGAAGAAGAATTGATGTCTTTGAATTGTGGTGCTGGAGAAGAGCATTGAACATACCATGGACTGCCAAGAGAACGAAAGTTCTAACCTGGAGAGAGTGAAACCGGGTTGCTCCCTGGAGGCAAGGATTTTGAAGCTCCATCTCACATACTTTGAGCATGTTGTCAGAAGGGACCAGTCCTTGGAGAAAGACATGGATGGAAGCATGGAGGGACAGTGCAGCCGAGGAAGAGCCCAGATGAGATGAATTGACACAGCAACTGGGATTATGAGGGTTGGTGTGTCAGAGACAGCGAGACTGACTCAGGACAGGGTAGGCTTCAGAGATCGAGTCATGGGTGACTCGATGACACATAACAACAACAACAAGGTCACTAGAGCAGCAGTCAAGAAATAAAAGAGATGTTGCAGCAAGTAAGTCTTTTGCTAATGATCTTTTTGAATCCTTCAAAAGCAGAGAGGTAACTTTCATGACTAAGGTTTGCCTGACCAAGCCATGGTCTGTTCGGTCACCGCATGTGTGCATGACAGTTGGACAGTGACCACGGCAGCTGGAGAACTGATGCTGTGAATGGCAGCGTTGGTGAGATGGTGAGTACCGTGGGCTGTGGAAGAACGGACAGATTCGTGTTGGGGGGCAAAGCACCCGGACTTCCTGATCAATGACGACGGCAAGACTCGGACCAGGTTGCCCTGCACATGGCAGCAGGCCAGCGCTATCCCTAGGAGTGGACCTTGCTGGAGCAAGTCTGACCTTTCTGGTAACATGACTAACGTGAGCGAGATGAGCTGCCACACCCTGCCTCGGAGGGGCGCTCTGACGACTTGTTCCCTGACGGGTCTGTGCTTTGCTGCCCAGGATGCACTCAGTGTTCCTCACCAGCCCCATCACTCAGAGGCACCAGCTCCTCTTTGAGCTTCCTTGTTCCTCACAGATGTCTCCTCAACTCTCCTCTGAGTCAGCCTTTGAGGTCAGGACCCTGCTGCTAGTGTCACACCCACTTTACAGACAAAGAAACTGAGGCTGAGCTGGTCAGTGACAGGGTCAGTCCCACAGCTGGTGAGAAGATCAGATACAGAGTTTGAGGAGACCACCTGAGGTCACTGCCTGCTTGTCCCGAAGCCATGTGTCCACTGAGAGCTCAAGGAAGGTTCAGGTCAGCGGGGTCCCCGGCCTCCCATGCCCTCTGAGTCCGGGCTGGACGGCACATACCCATTTTGCAGCGGTGATGAGGACGGCGGTGCCGATGGGGCCCGAGTACACGCCGTAGCCCTCGCGGTCATGGTAGACCCGCACCGCGATGGTCAGGACGCCAAACATCACCAGTGTTGACCTCTTGGGCTCGTCGAAGTCAGCCAGCGCTGAAGGGCCAGGGAGAACCGGAGAGGTCAGTGACCGCCTGCCCTCCTGGCTGGCACTTCCTGAGCCCATGCCTCAGTCATGAGACCCCAAGGCCAGGATGGTTCCGGGGCTCAGAATTCTAGGGTTCAATGGGGCAGGCTGATGGCTGGTTCCCTGTGCACGGAGCCACCGGGAATATCAATAAGAAAATTCAGCCTGCAGGCCCTCAGCCATCAGGGACACGCACGTGTGTGCTGAATGGGACGGGACACTCCCGTATCATGGACAGTCATGTGCACAGGGGCCCGGGGACAGCCCCCCATTAGATACACCCACCTCTGTGAGGGACAGCAGGCACTTGACCAGCAGAGATACTGTGTGCGTGTGTGTATGTGTGCATGTGCGCAGATAGCAAGATTCACTCACCCATCAGAGACACCCACATGCTCAGTGCGGTGCCGTAGATACTGAAGTATTCCAGGACATCCAGCCGCAGGAAGCAGAGTATGGACAGGCCTGGGCCACTGCAGGCATGGTAGAGCTGGCAGAGACCCCGGTGGTCAGCACAGGACGGGTAGACCCAAGGGGCCCGAAGCACAGGGCCACAACCCTGTGACAGCGGGGAGCCTGCCTAGCCCCCCTCCCAGCGCCCCAGGGGAATGGAGGGAAAACACCAAGTGTGGGTTCAGGGGCCTAGGGCTCAGGGTCACCACAGCTGAGAGCCAGGACTGGAGCATGTCCCCTGGACCCAGGTCCCTGTTCTGAGAAGGTCCTTGACACAGAAGAAAGCTGAGACAATCGGCCAGCCTCCAAGGGAAGCAGGCCCTTCTTATAGGGCCGACCTAGAGAGAAGGCCTTCCTTTGGGACTGGCGTCCAGCCCTGTCGACAGTGAGATCAGAGGTGAAGTCCTCTCCTTGTGGGGTTAAGCACTCAGGCTCTGGGGTCTCAGTAGGTTCTGCTCACTGAACATCTCAGTCAGTGGGATGAGACCACCTATCCACATACCCCCCCACAAGGTGGGCATCGCACAGGCCTGGTGGGAAGGCAGGGACATGGAAGAGGGTGCAGCTGGGGTTTTAAGAAGGGGACGGGGTGGGGCCCACAGGCTGGGGAGCATTTGTCACAAGAGGCAGCTGGCCTTGTCATTTGGGGTGGGTGAGGCAGCTACAGAGGCAGCTGTGGGGCCAACCAGGCCCAGGGTGGGGTGGTCTGCTGGTGCCTGTGGTTCCAGGCTGGGTTTAACATGGGATTGAGGGCAAGGGTACAGGACCCCACTGCCTGTCCTCTCTGAGGCCTGTGCCCAGAGGCTGTGAGATTCCCCCACTCCATCCAGCACCAAGTCACCTGCCGCATTCTCTCTGCCCTACACAAGCTGGCTGCAGGGACACAGCCATGATATGGGCACAGAAAAAGTGCTTGGGTGGGTAGGCTCAGGGCTGGTTCTCACAGCAACTGGACTGCACTCCAGGACTCAGTGTCTCAGTCTGCCCGGTCAGGCTGGCTCACGGGACACTGAGAAGCCCACTTAGGGGGCTGGGATCCAGCAGTCCACACACTGTCCCTCACTCTGCCTGGGCAGTGATGTGTGAACCTCTCCTGGCAGAAAGGACTCCTGAGAGCAAAATCCAGGGGACACTGGCCCTCATTGTTATCTGTGGGGTCTGCACACTGAGGTACCGTGTACCCTCAAGTACTCAAGTGCCTTCTCTTGCCACAGACAAGCTTGCCCTGGTCAGTCCAGGGTGACAGTGACCACAAACATGTGTCTTCATACACATATGTGTTCTCAGAAGTGCCCACTCACATGCTCTGCCTGCAGGCATCTCTGTGAGGGCAGGGAGGCTGCCCAGTGGGAGAGTGTGGTTCTCACACTGGGCACTGCCCTGCAGAAGGTCTGGAGGGACCCTGGCCACACTGGGCATGAGAAGGGGCATGATGGACAATATGTGAGGAGAAATGTTATAGAGAAAATGGGGTTGACTGGGAGGTCTAGGAGTGAGGGGTGGGGTTCAGAGACAAAGAAAGAGAGCGACACAGAGAGAGACAGACACAGAGACTGAGAGAAGGATAGAGACAGAGGGAGAGAGACACAGAGAGAGACGAGGGAGAGAGACAGACACAGAGACTGAGAGAAGGATAGAGACAGAGGGAGAGAGACACAGAGAGAGACAGACACAGAGACTGACAGAGGGAGAGAGACACAGAGACTGAGAGAGGGAGAGAGACACAGAGAGAGCGAAAGAGAGAGAGATAGAGACACACACACACACAGCGACAAAGAGACACACACAGAGACAGAGAGAGATACAGAGATAGAGACACAGAGAGACAGAGATAAAAAGACAGAGACACACACAGAAACAGAGACAGAGAGACAGACACACAGACACACACAGAGAAAGAGAGAATACAGAGATAGAGACACAGAGAGACAGAGACAGAGATAAAAAGACAGAGACACAGAGAAAAAGAGAAACAGAGACAGAGAAAGACACAGAGACAGAGATCATGAGATAGAGAGATACACAGAGACAGAAGGAGTCAGAGAAGCAAAGAGAGAGACAGAGGGGGGAAGGGAGGCACTGTGGGTACAGGACAGAGACAGAGCAGTAGTTGGGTGACTGATGGGGAGGTGAGAGAGACCAAGCGACTTGGCACGCGAGGGAAGTGGAGATGGAGGAGACACCAGACAGACACGTGAAGGTCACTGGGAGCTGAAGTTCAGAAGAGCCAGGGACCCCCCTGCAGGACCACCAGACAGAACTTCACCCCTACAGCCGGCGTCTTGAATTCAGACTTCCAGCCTCCTACACTATGACAGGATATGATTCTGTTTGTAAAAGCCAAGAAAGATATAGAGACTTTGAAAGAATCTACACGGCCCAGTTCCAGAAAACAGGATAGAAGCAGATGTAAACAGAGAAGGGAGACCAAGGGTTGAGGGAGAGAGAAATGCGAGACTGGGTGAGTTGATGGGGCCATGGGAGAGAGACGGGGGCGTGGGGGCCCTAGACGCTCTACCTGGCAGTATGTAACACAATTCACTGAGGACCACTCAGCCAGGTCGGCAGGAAAGGTTCAAAGGGAGCCTGAAGAGATGGAAGGAACAGGCCCAGGTGTCACCCCGCCAGTCCCAAGGTCCTAAGCCTGCTGACCCCTCGGGGCCTGGCCCGTCCTGTCCTCCCTGCTCTGCTCCCCTGAGTGAGTCTGGGGAGACTGGTCCCAGCAGCCTTGGATGGTCTCCCGTAGGCAGAACAAGGGGCCACCTTGGAAGGCTTGTACTCGCCACTGGCTGTGTCACCTGGGCTTGGTGTCACTCACAGAACACTTCCTCGCTCTCAGAATCATCTACGACTGGGTGGAGGAACGGTCCTAGAGAGACGGAGAGGCATCCCTGCCTTCCCTCGAAGGACCGCACCAGCAAGCATCCCTCGGCTCCCAATCACTTTCCTCTACCCAGTTCCAGGAAAGCGGGGGGAAGACCCCATTCTCTCTTTAGGATCTGTCCTGTGAGGAGCCGCCTCCCAGACCTCAGACTCACCGCCGTGAAGAACATGGTGAAGAGGTAGACCATGGCTTCCATGTGGAAGCGCCTCCTGGCAGCAACGCTGATGGTGGGCAGGAAGGCCAGGCTGCTGACGGTGGGCAGGAGCAGCTTGGCCACGAGTGTCCCCATGGGCAGGGGTGCTGGCCTCCCGGTGCCCCGGGCTGCGGAGTGGGGAGGAGAAGGCCTGCTCCCTCAGCGCGGCTCTGAGGGCAGCTGTGTGTGGGACCAGCCCAAGGTGGGGGCAGGAGGGAGCCAACAATAGCATTCACTCCCAGCGACACATGGACAGGGCCTGACAGCTGAAGGGCCATGTGGTCAAGCACTTACTCTCATTTTTTTTAGAGGCCAGAGGCGCTGATTCAAGAAGGGCCTTGCTTCTTTTTTCAGAGTAACAAAGTTGGAGAACAGGATCTGAGCCGCTTTCCGTCATACCCACCCTGCCTCTCACCAGCAGGGGCCAGAACAGGATGTCCGTGGGTACTGCTCCTTGGATCACAGATTCAGGGCGACCAGACAAGGCCGCTCCAAAGATGAACGGATTCTACTCCCTACAAAGGCTCGAAGGCCTGCTCACACTGCTGCCCATACTCAGTTCCCACCGTCCATGCCGCCCACTCTCATCCCCACGTGGTTTCAAACCTTAAGTAAACGGCCAGGGCGGTGTGTGCCAGGGCACTAGTGTGCCCTCCCAGCTCTTAGGGAAGCAGCTCCTTGGCTATCCTCCAGGGAATGGCTTCTCTTGCTCTGAGAAGTCTGGGGTAACTGTGTGGAGAGACCCTGCATGGCAGAGGAGGACATTAGAGAGCGCCTTCCGTGTTCCGGGGCCCAGGAGTTACAGTCTGAACGACCGAGGCTGACCCCAGGAAGCAATCCACGTGTGAGCTCTGCACGGCTGCATTCTTTCCCGGAGGCATATGCGCTCTGCTTCCCTACCATGTGGTTCTCTTCTATCCAACTGTAAGCTTCTTGAAAGCAGGATGGTGAGACTGTTTCACATACTTTGGGTAGGCAATGAGAGGGACTTGTCATTGGAAGAGGACATCATGCTCTGTAAAATAGAGGATAAATGCAAAGAGAAAGCTCCTCAATGAGACAAATTGTCACAGTAGCTACATCAATGGACCCAAATGCAGCAGCATTTACGAGGACTGCTTGGCCCTGGGCTGGGCTGCCACCAAATCATGTGTAGCTACTTCTGGGCCTTCGACCGCTGCCTTTCTCAGCCTTCTATCTACTTGTTTGTCCATCATCTACCTATCAATCATCTTTTTCTTCTCTTTTTAGGAGAGTTTATGCAATCCCCCCACCCCCTCCAAATTATGCAGTTGAGTTTCCCACATTTGGGGAAGTTGCAGGAGTTACCACAGCCGGAGTCAGTCATCTCCTAAGGAGCAACTTGGTTTCACACTCTCCAGGACAGATCTGTTTGTTCTCTTGGAGGTTCATGGTATGTTCAATGTTCTTCTCCAGCACCAGAACTCAAAAGGCATTAATTCTTTCTCTGTCAATCTTAGTCATTGGTCAGATCTCTGAAGCATAACAAGTAATTATTAAGATCAGGTGCACCTTAGTCTCTAGACTGACATCCTTGATGTCTTGCTCTTGAGGTCTCTGAAGAGCTGTACCAGACGGTAGATTTTCTTAATGCAATTTGTCTTTTGACTTCCTCGCTGCTGGTGCCAGGAGTGGAAGCGAGCAAGCTGTAATTGTTAACAATCTCAATCTCTTCTCCATCCATCATGGTGCTATCGTGGTGAGAATCTTTGTTTTCTTGATGTTGAGCTTCAATCCATATTGAAGATTGCAGTCCTTGACTTTCTGCGGCAAACATCTCAGATCCTCCTCGGTTTTGGCAAGCAAGGCTGTGCCATCTGCATAATGCAGGTTGCTTCTGAGCCTCTTTATTACCCGCCCATATGTCTGTCCATCCATCCACAACATCATTATCCAAAGAAAACAGCTTCCCTCTCCCCGTTCTGGGGCAATTCACACCAAGACGATGCCCAGATTTTAATTGTGGAGCTTGATGAGCTTTCACAGGCATCTACAGCTGTGTAACCACCACCAGTGGAGACACACCCTTCACCCCAGAACACTCCCCGCTGTCTGGCTTCTGCCACCACGGTGCACGCGCCTGTCCTACAGTCCCCAGCTGGGAGCGCACTCTGCTGTCCTTCCCTGGCCCGCCCTCCGCTGACCCACCATCGTCTGTCGTTTGGACACCATCTTCCAGTTGTGCTGAGGCCTGAAGCACCCCTGGGGATGATGTCGCCATGCAGGCACACCCCAGTGCCCTGGCTCCCCGGCTGGAGTCTGGGCTGCAGGGACAGCAGGCTGGGAACACGGGGTGCTGGTTCATCACTGTGGCAGCACCTCGGTGAGGGGGTTCCGGGGAGTTCCAGGGTGTTCCGGGCCTCCTGTGAACTGCCTGCACCAATTTTTCTTCTGGAAATCTCCTGCGTCTTCGGTTAGCTAGACCTGACTTGTGCTGTTTTGACAGAAGACACTTGCTTCGTTTGGCTAGGCTGTCCTCCTACGGATGGTTCCTAGGGGCCATGTTCAAGCTCCCTCAGACCACACCACCTCCACCCAAAGGGGCTTAACCCCTTCTCCTCCCAGCCCCCTGGCCAGAGCCCCTTGACCTGCTCACAGCATATTTGATGGAAGGCAGCCCCAGCCACTTATTGCCCAACCCTCGCACAGGTGGGGCCTTCTGGAGGAACCACACCCAGCTCCTTCCCTGTCCCAGCCCCTCCCTCTGACCTGCAGGTGAGCTGGACAGAGTGTCCCCTCTGGACTGCCGAGTCCACAGGCAGGCTCCAGTCACATCACCACCTTACGGCTCCCTCTCCCAGTGTCTGAGCCAGGCTGACTGAGCAGGCGGTCTTCAGCAAACAGTGGCCAAATGGAAGACTTTGTTAAAAGAATGAATGAAAGTTTGAGGAGGTGGGACAGCTGTGTGTTCCAGCCTGGCCTCACAGAAGACCTCTGTTCGCTCCCCAAGGAGACCTCCTAGAACCCCACCACACTGAGGCAAGTGTCCCCCTGCCCTGTTCAGTCCCAGCCCAGCTCCCCAACACCCAGCCCCCAGTTCCAGCCTCAGCCGCTAGCCACAGCCCTAACCTCCAGCCCCCAGTCTCAATTTCAGCTCTTCGTCCCAGCCCCAGGCCAGGCCCTTGTGGGTCTGGAGAAGGTGAAGGGGCTGAATCAGATCTGGTGACTGGAGGTCAGAAGTGGGAGAGGCATCGGATGAGAAGGTGCTCTGGAGCCAAAGACCGTGCTCAGCAGGTGGAGAGCATCGCAGGGTGTGTGTGTGCATACACGGTGTGTGCGTGCGCATGCCTATGTGTGCACGCATGTGCTTGCACGCACATGTAGGCATGCATGGGTATATGAGTGCTGTGTGTATACATGTACCTGTCGGCACATGTGAATGTGCGCGTGTGGACATGTGTGCATGCTTTGCGTCTGTGAGCTCCAAGTCTGCGTGTGCACACATGTGTGTGTGCATGCTTGTACGTGAGCAGGCATACGTATGTATGAGCACCTGTGAGTGTGTGTTTGTGTCAGCTGTGGGCTTCAGGTCTCTGTGCTCATACCAGTGAGGCTTTGCACATATGTGTGTTAGCGTGTGTGTCAGCTGTGGGCTTCAGGCCTGTGTGCTCATGTGTGTGAGGGTGTGTCACGTGTGTATGTGTACGCACGTGTGAATGTGTATACAGGCGTGCGCATGTGTGTGTAGCAGATGTCTGCTCATCTGTGTGAGTGCATGTGTGTGTGTGTGTGTGAGGGTGTGTGCGTGCATGTGTGTGTGAGGGTGGTACGTGCATGTGTGTGTGTGAGTGCTGTGTGAGGGTGTGTGCATACGTGTGTGTGAGGGTATGTGCGTGCATGTGTGTGTGTGAGTGCTTTGTGAGGGTGTGTGCATGCATGTGTGTGTGAGGGTATGTGCGTGCATGTGTGTGTAAGGGTGTGTGCGTGCATGTGTGTGTGAGGGTGGTACGTGCATGTGTGTGTGTGTGAGTGCTGTGTGAGGGTGTGTGCATGCATGTGTGTGTGAGGGTATGTGCGTGCATGTGTGTGTGTGTGAGGGTGTGTGCGTGCATGTGTGTGTGTGGCAGCTGGGAGCTTCAGGCCTGCACTGAGGATCGAGGAAGGGAAGCGATGGGGGAGGTGGGGAAGGGGCAACAGTCACACATGTGTTGCAGTGATTAAGGAGGAAGGAGCTGAGGCGAATGATCCCAGGCGGGGGACAGGTGGCTGGGCCCTGGGCAGCCTCTGCAGAGAGGCTGGAATTGAGCCTCCTCCGTGGTGGG